ATATCCAGCTCTAAGTGAGGAAGAATTAGGTCTGTAATCAAAAGCACAGTAAGAAAAGAATTAGTAGAAATATTTGGGGTTGCTAGTACTTTAAGGCTCTAAGAGTCAGTTAGAGTTAGTATTTTTTGTTAACAGCTGATGTCTATGTATATTTTGCTTTCAGGCAAATACACAATTTTTTTGTGATGAAGGTTATCCTATTTCAAGTAAAAACAAGCTAAAAACAATTCCTCCTGTTTTATTCTAATTAGATAAATCAGTTGGATATTTTAAGAGGAATGGGGCAGGTAGAACAGAAACGCAGAAAGTTATCTCTGCTGGTTTAATGAGGAAGGAAAGTAATAAATTGGGAAGAGTATGATTGTGGTATACTATGAAACCCTAGTCTCTTCTGAGCTCAGGATCTTTGATGTGTACTATAATAATGAATTCCCATGCTCATCTTTTGTACATGTTTTGTGGTTGCAGTGAGGATGCAGTGACAAGTGCTGGTACAGGACAAGTGATGAGAATGCTGTCCAAATCAGGAGAGAGTTGGGGACTGCCAATGCTGGTGGCACTGCAGCCTTGCAGTAACTTACACAGCTTTGACAACTGCAGCCTGAGCTAAAAGCATTGCAGCCTGGGTGTGTGACTCTCAATGTGAGAGAAAGAAAATTTGCTTAAAATATAGAAACTTATATTTTAATTCGCTAACATTACCCAAAATTAATCTCATTCACACCAGCTTTGGTGACAGCTCTTATGTATTTAAAAAAAAAGTGAATACCTCTATAAAAAAATACACTTTATTGAGGAATCTACTCTTTATTGAGTCATACTGAAGCAAGTACTAACCTGCAAAAATCAAAGAATGCCGCTTCTGGAACAGCTTTGTGCATGAAGAGATGGGGAGGAGGTTTGCAGGTATACCAGTAAGTTCAAGAGTGGGTTGTAACTCTGTCTATATAATTCAGGTCTGCGGTCACTTGTAGGATTGCATCCTTTATGTTCTTTGAACCGTACCACGTAAACGTTGTTGGAGAAATTTAGTAATATTTGAAAACCATTTTTTCTATATCATAGTATGTATGGTATGTTTCTATTGTTTTATTTTTCTTCATCTCTTTACCTCTTTTTTTTTTTTTTTTTTTATTACTGAGAGCATTTGCAAGACAATAGCATTTTCTGTTTGTGAGTTAACACAGCTCAGGTGCCTATATTTAACCTGGGTTATAAAATCATTTGACACATGAAGGCAGTATAATTTGAAGTCCTTATGATCTAATCAAGGATTATACCTTCACATGATGACTAATTTGGAGCAACTGATAAATTCAGAAACCAAAAAAATCTGTATCCATGATAGTTGATAATAAAAAATGACAATAGAAAACCAGAAATTAAACCAGAATAAAAATGCCAAGAAAAACCTGCATTTGAAACTTTGTATCAATGTGTAAAATGTGCATCAACTTTGATTAGAAAAGAATTTTACTATATTTTTTTCTTTGCAAAGCAATTACAGATTCAAAAGAAAAGCAGGAAAGATGCTATACTAAGTCCCCAACAGCATGTGAAGGGCTGTATATGCATATAGTTAATATCACTGGTAGTGCTTAGGGAGTCCTCTTACAGTAGTGATGTAAGCCTTGGTGGGAATGAGTTTTCTGACACATCATAGATGTATATCTTCGTGGGATCTCACTGATTTAGTTTGTAATGTCCAACCCTTATTTCAGATATATCACAATATATACGAAATGCTACATATACTGAAATTTGTGCATGTAATAGAATTGGAAAGAATAAGTATTAGAGCAAAAGAACAATTTGGTTTTAGGATTTTTTTTGGTGTACGCATATATGAGTGTTTGGAAAAACATGTTTTGTGGGTATTTCTTGAAGTAGTATTTCCATTTCAGGTGGAATCACTACTTTCCTGGGATTTTTTTTTTTTTTTTGATTAAAAGAATTGAATAGGAATGTGGTGTTTAGTTTAGTGAAAGCCAGCAAACATGTATAAGGAGACAGTTGGTACAAACGAGTATATGTCTAGGCTATCATCTGTGCTTTTGCTGCTTTATGCTACTCAGGTAGTCATTAATCCTCACTCTTTCAGACTTTCCAGTTACTTACTTGTAGTCAATCAGTTCAACATAATTAAAAGGGTGGGGAGCTATCATGCATGGGTGGTAAATTATTCCTCTTTGTAGTTATCACCTTAAGGCAGGGATTTCAGTTCGTTGAGAGAGTAAAGCTGTTTAAAAGAACAGTGTTCAGATTAGGTATTCTGCTTGGAAACTTAGGCATGATAAAGAGAAATTTCTGATTTCTGCCCTGACATAAATTTTCCATGGTCTATGTGCAGGTTTTTTGCTGGCAGAGCTATGCTTTTAATGAGTTTGAACAGGTGTAGTTGCTTGTTGACATACCTGGTCTATCATAAGCTATGATGTAAGTTCAGTTACTTTAGCAAATTTGTGTTTTTAGGCTGCACTGCTGAACTCATGAGGTAGGTGTTCTACAGAAGAGCGAAGTGTGGTTATACCAGCACTGGCATTTAGACTTCTTGTTCATTTGGTATTACTAAATTCCTACTGTCTTCCATATATATATATATATATGCATATATATATATATGTACGTGTATATATATATATATGTACGTGTATATATATATATATATATATATATATATACACACCCTGCAGTAATAGGAAATTTGACAAATAAAAATCCTTAAAGGAAGACTGAACTCACTGGGAAAACAAAACAAACAACTCCCCCCACCCAAACATCAGTCTAAGAATTAGAGGAATTCAGAGGTCAGGTTAAATAGGTTGTGTGGACACTGTAAAATACTCTAAAACTATCAAAATCTGGGAACACACTGTAATCATTAACCCTCAGAAAAGTGCCTGTTAGAAGTTCTTTAAGTTCTTGAAAGTGTTTGCAGAAGGCTTCAGCAAACCTAGTGATTGTTCTGATGCAATGCATGTTCATTAACAGGTAGTAGGTACTGCAGATGCACATAGGTAAGGATAAGATACCTAATTCAATACAAAAATTGCACCTTGAAAACTGAAAAGCTGTAATTAGAGAAACTGCCTTAGCATAAAAGTTTCACCAGGATGACCTACTTAGAAGGATCATCATGTACCTAAAATCAGGCTACAGTTTGCAGTCATAAATATTACATCATGTCTTTCTTTAAGGCCGCATTTCTCTTCCAGTAAATGCTTCAGTTCACATTAATAGTTGAATATTGCCATCACATCTGATTTCTCTGAGAAATATTCAAAGTGTATGAAATTATTAATCTAGAGGAAGAGACTAAAAATAAAGACATTTTCCACCATAGGTGAATTTCTATTTTTAAAAATCTGGGAAATACCTTTCAGCTTCTAATGTTATGTCGGTGTGATTTTAAGTTTCGTTTTCTTCTATCAGAAGTACATCATGCCATTAGTTTTTCTAATGCAGTCTATAACTCTTCCTATTCCTCAAAACGGTATCAGTCTTAAAACTGATATCTGGAATATACTTCTGGAGACAGTGTCTATGACACAATGAATAAAGGACAGCTTCTTAAAGCATTACCCTTGTCTTCTCCCATGGAGCTCAGATTGCAGCTCACACTACTTTAGAAAGGGAAATGGGATTTGCTTCAGAAATTTCCAGCCACTTTTACTACTGCATTGTGTCTCAGCCTCCTTAGTTGTATTAATGCAGTTTTTCTGAGGTAATGCTGGAAAATAGATCATTAAAATGATCGTGGTTAAAAATAACCTTTTCCCCAAGATGGAAGGAGACAGTGTTTTCTTAGGAGCACTGCTACAGAAATTTTAGCCTGCTTTCTCTGAGAGAGGAGGCTTCTGCAATCTATTGCAGTGCCCAGATTCACACACATACACAAACACACACACAGAGCCTTAACTTTAGACATGAGTAATGGTGCAGTTTTGTAATTGATTTTAGCTCTTCTAACTACTGTTACCAACAAAGGATCCTGCATTTCTTCCTTCCCTTTGGCTGCATGCTGCTGCCATTTCTTTCTGCTGCCCTAATGATAGTGCCCTAATGATAGTGCAAATGTGTGATGAGCAAATTGCCTTACAGATATGCCTGAAAACTGCACAGAGAAGAAGGGAATGGTTAGTCTTCAGTCTAATAAGCAAACTGCTCTTGACTCATTTTGTCTGCATTTGTGACCTTGGGGCTGCACAAGATAGGAAGGTGCAGCAGGGGAGCAGGGAGGAGAACTGGGGCAAAATGTCTTGGTGCTTTCGTGCAGATAGATTAGCAGGAACTCATGCTGGACTTACCCACTCTGGAATGAATTAGCTGGTGACATACAGTTGTTCCAGTCTGCCTCTACTGTCACTATGGACAGGGAAGAAAGGAATACGTCTGTCCACAATTTAGGTACTGGAAATCTTTAAAGTAGGAAGTGCCACCACTTTCGTCCATACAGCTCCCTGCACTGAATTTTTTAGGGTGGGACTTCGTATTGCTAAGACTCTGTGTGAATGCAATGGTCAAATCCAGTCAACTTTGAGACACTGGTGCAGATGTGAGGAATATTAGCTTCCTATAGGATTTGTATTAAGCAGCAGGCTGGACAGAGGACAGATATTTTATGGTCAGTCATTGAGAGAAAAGTTAGTATTTGTAGCCCTTTCTTACAAAACGGGGAGTTCACGTGGGGAAGGACACTGAAGATAGAGTCAATATGATGTGTGGTGCATGGAATTGATTGATTTCTTTCAGAATAAAACCTGGTATCCAAGACTAGAGAGTAATAAATTGAATTCTGAAAACCATAGAGAGATTAAATTTATCTTCAGCATATTTTCCTTGTAACCTGGGGTATTTGTATCTCTGAAGGAAACACAGGTTTGTATATTGAAAAGCCCTGTACTTTGGTGTCCAGTGTTTAAATGAAGATTTGTATGGTACTGTATCACTGTGAAGAAACACCTAAAAAGGAGTAAACTTTTTTCTCTTATATTTTGCAGGTTGAATATTACAGCTTTACATGTACTTGGGCTTTTTCTGCTGATGTCCAACACAAAATAGATATTCCAAAAAGTATTCAGCAGGTACCTCTGTGACATAACAACAGTCTTTCTTTGATACAAGATGGAGGACACATACAAAGATAGGACTTCACTAGTGAAAGGAGCCAAAGATATTGCCAAAGAGGTGAAGAGACAAGCAGTTAAAAAAGTAAATAAAGCTGTTGACAAAGCCCAGGATGGTTACACACAGAGGTCCTACAATCGATTCCAGGATGAGGAAGATGACGATGATTACTATGTCCAAGGAGGAAATTATGGTGTAGAAGCTAATGATGATGAAGGATCAAGTGAAGCAACTGAAGGACATGATGAAGATGACGAAATTTATGAAGGGGAGTATCAGGGAATCCCCAGCATGGGGCAGGGAAAGGATGACATGGTGGCCTTAGGTCAACCTATGCATGATGAATATAAGGATCGCCATGAACTGGAAACAGAGAGAAAAGCTGATGAAGAAGAGTTAGCACAGCAGTATGAATTAATAATACAAGAATGTGGCCATGGTCGTTTCCAGTGGGCCCTCTTCTTTGTGTTGGGAATGGCCCTGATGGCTGATGGGGTGGAAGTTTTCGTAGTTGGATTTGTGTTGCCAAGTGCTGAAACAGATATGTGTATACCGAATTCTGGATCAGGATGGCTTGGTAAGTAAAGTCTTTTTGCTATTACAAGAGTTGGTTACAGTAAGCCTAAATATGTATTTGTCAACACCAATGCTTATATAAAAACATGTTTGTATTGAATATAAATAAGAAATCCACAAAGTGCAGTAACATTAACTAACATTAATTATGGATTCAGTAAAGATTATAATTTCATTTTTAGATGGTTGTTTTCTTATTCAGTCAGTAAATAAATCACCAAAGAGGGAGTCTGCACAGTAAAACTTAAGAGGAGAAGGACACAATTTGTTCTCATTTACAAGACTGGGCATCCAGATGAACTAATTTAAAAAAAAGAAACAAAAAAACCCCAAAACACAAAACCAGCCCAAGGTGGAGTACTAGAGTTCTGCTGGATTTATACAAGTGTGATAAAGAGCAGATAATACAACTGTCCAGCAACATTGTCATACTGTATGGGAACTTTCCCCTTGTGAGGTGGAATGCAATCTGGAAAACACAAGAATTCCAGAGAAAATGATGTATAGTACAGCCTTTCCCTCTTTTTGTCTTTAGTCCTTTTATACCAATGACTGTCCTCTAGGCATCCAAAAAGAAAAATGTTTACTTTGGGACAAATGACCAAAGGTGAGCCTGGGCTGTGCCTTTTGTGTTCATTTTGTTGATGGGGATGGGCTGTGTCTCATCCTCTTGCCTATTCCCTCCTGTGGTGTGGCAAACAGGCAGGCTGAGCCAGCCTTGTGTGACTTGCTGGGAGCAGCAGTGCTGCAAGCAGATGCGTGCTTGCCCTTCCTGGTCATGACTGGGCACAACAGGTTAAAGAAAGCTCTCATGGGGCAGGGCAGTGGAGAAAAGGTGTAGAAATGGTTCCACAAGGAAGAGGGGAGGGACATGCTTTTTATAATATGATTTTTTTATTCATTCCTTGGCAGTTGAGGACAACTCTACTCATCAATTTTTATAATTTTTGCAATTTTTATATTGCTTGAACAAAAATTATTGATCTCAATTCCATTTTTTGATTACTGATAAAGTTGTTTGTTTTACCATTTTCTCAAGACCCTCTGAACAAATGGTATGGTCAAAGTTTTCTTTATTCTCCAAGATGATAACAATATAAGGGTAGCCACCAAATCGGTCTCCAATTAATTTGTATTACATTGTATTTTTAAAATATAATGTTTTATTTAAACAGCTGCAGTAAGTATTACAGAGGTGTCTGGAATTAGGAGTGGGGAGTATTGTCCCCACAGTAGCAGAAGCAATGGGAATTCACATCCACCTGGTGAGGTCTGACCCATGTCAAGAAGACTATTGAGAATTTCCCTGTCACTAGACCTGTCATGATGCTGACTTGAGATATATTGGAATGACTCTGTCGATGTTTAACTAAAATTCAGTACAGAAGCTGTTAAATATCTCATAGTTATAAATATGCGTGTGTGTATGTATGTGTATACAAGATGACTGTTGAGAAAATTAACAGCTATGGAAAGCTTAGGTGTGCAAGCAATGTATTTTCATGCCTAAAGTATAGAAATTGTAGTGTATCTTATTTTTGTAATAATATAACGCTAGCCTCTGTGTTGTGGTATTAACAAACAAATGTATGGCCAGTCTTCGCAAGCGAAGATTTGGGAAAGGTCATTAACCCTTTGAGCCTGCACAGTGGATTTTTTAGGTGAGACACAGCGTGCGCTGAACTGAGCCCACCCTTTAATCCTAAAGTTCATCTGCTGGGGCCGAGCGAGCTCGGACGGTGGCAGCGAGGTCCTCAGGACGTAGGTTTCTTTAGAGTGACCTTCTCTTAGATGGATTGCCTCACAGGGCTGACGAGCTCCATCTGCCCGGGAGAGTTCCCTGACCAGGAATCGAACCCGGGCTGCGGCAGTGAGAGTGCTGCATCCTAACCACTAGACCACCAGGGGGCCCCCTAACAAACAAATAATTCTATGCTAAAAGATTAACATACAAAAGCAGGAAAGAACAGAGATAAGCAATTTCTCTCCCAGTGTGTGTTGAAGGCATTGTAACACATGGTCATTTTATCAATAATTTCACCAAAAAAATATATTACTTTTCCATTGGTAATAGAAATATATCATTAACTGCAATTCGTCAGTACACTGACATACATGTTGCTTATAAACAAAGTAGATACACTGCTTGCAGACGGCATAATCTTAATTCCATTGATACAAAATATTCATTGTATCAGTGAATGCTTAGTGAAAGCATTCTTATATTGTCATAACTAGGCCCTCACAGCCATGCATTTAAATTATTTTGCTGTTGTGATTTCACATCATAATTACATCCTAACTGGGGTCTTCCAGATATACAGGAAGACCAGGCATAATTTTTTTTTCATGATTATAATTCCGTGATCCAGAGGGCTTAATGTTGTTAGAATACTAAAGTCATAGGACCAGTGCTAGGATTTATTAGGTAGAATTGTCACAAATACAAAATATCTATTTTCAGGCAATTTTCTAATCTGTTAAAATATACTAAGACAGTGTTAATTTGTCTTTGAAACAGCATCATTGACTCCATTGTAAAAAATGGTTTCTCATATATCATGCCATGATAGTTTACTAGGGAACATGAGCTGACTAAAACCATGGGACAAAATTCACTGAGCCTCTCGGTTGCATTTTTTTATTTTTTTTTAATTTACTTGCACGGCAACGATTTCCTAGATTTCTTTCCTATTAACCCTTGCATGAGCTTGAGGCCTCTGTTGATTATCACTAGCAGCATTTCAGAGCCTATAAAGTCACATGATGACTATGCTGATCAGAGTCATGAACTAGCTTCTGATTGGCTTTTAAGTTAAATAATAAAATAATAGGGTTTCCATCTCCAAGAAGTTGCTTCACTAAAAATAGGGAAGCTGACTTGCTAAAATTCTCCAATATTATAGTGACATGTCACTAAGCATGAGGGAAAGGTGCAGTTCAACCTGGCTGTACTTGCCAACTCCTGCATGTGGGTGGATTCACACTGACCTCTTGGGTTCTGACATGACTCTACCTTCATGAGATAGGGTGTAGGCTCAGGTCTAAAGATGGCATTTCAACTCTTTTCCTGCTTACATCTTCTCTTTGCTTTTACATGCAGCTCAGAAGTGGACTGGTATTAGGTTAATTCTCTGGCCTCTGATTATACTTTTCTACATAACTTTTTCTCTATGTTTTTGCATTCAAATTGTTCTTAAGTTTTATTGTGGAGGGTTTTTTTTCTTTTCTGTAAAATTCAAATTATGGTCTTTACTTTCCTCAGCATCTCTGTATCTGAAATACTGAAATATTGTTTTCTCTAAGCTAGGCAAAGCTAGACCTTCCCAGCATATCTGTTCTGGATACCATACCACTTCCGACCACCTTCTCACTGGTTCTCCCGTGGGACCTGTAAGTGTTCACTCTCATGTGTAAGATCCTTGGCAGCTGCACTGCTGTCACCATTGCTAGCAGTATATACAGGCTGACTCCTTCTTGACTGACCCATGATGACACTTTTCATAGCACCAGTTGGCACATTTTTCAGACAGATATCTCCATCCCTTTTTCATACCTTGTCAGAATCCTAGAATCGTATAACAGTTGGAGTTGGAAGGAACCTCTTAAAGGTCATCTAGTCCAACCTCCCTGCAATAAACAGGGATGTCTTCAACTACATCAGGTTGCTCAGATGCCCATCCACCTCAGGACTGAGAAATATCAGGATCCCAGGCTTAAGTTATAATCTTTAAATTTTTTTTTTTTTTTGCATTCATACCAACAAAATCTGACAACTGATTAGCCACTCATATTTGCTGATTGCCATCCTTTCCAGAGGCCAATTGTTCCTCAATGATTTCTGATAGTCTCTCTGGTCTGTTTTGAATCCTTATATGATCCTCTGTATGAAGTTTAGCCTAAATGATCTCTTGAGGGTGAATAGTCTTTTATTTTGTTCTGTTTTGCTTACCATTGTGTGAAGCAATGTGTTTGCCAAGACTTTGATACAGTTTCACAGACAGGACAGTAACAAACCCAGAAATAATCTTTATATGTTAAAAATATTCTTAGCTGATGATTCAGTCATACAGACAGTTTCTTCCATCTAAAAAAACTCAACTATTGTGGTAAATCACTGGACTGATAATGCAGGTATTGTGAATAGGAATAGCAAGGAACAGCTTGCTTTGGAAGTCAAATTATTTTCTGAAAATCCACATTTAGTGTCTAATAATGCCTTGGTGTAAGGTTTTTTCCTGATATTATCTGGATTTAATAGTTGAATTTTGTGTAATATTTGTAGAAAGAAGAGTATCAGAGGCATATCTAGGTCTTTTGGGCCAAAGTAGTTTTCAGTCTAGGACAACAGCCTCCAGTTCTGCAATTCTGCATTGGGCAGCTGATGCAACACGCTTATAAGCTCTGCTAAGGATACCAGATGGTCACTGAATTTTTCCCCTCCGTGGTTTAAAAAAGTACTGACTTGCCAGATCCTTTCTACGTAACTTGATTCTAGTTTTGCACTGATCGTTTTCAACAACTTTATACTCAACCAATACCTTCCTAAGAACTTGTCAATGACAAATGCAAGTCCTTCACCTGGGACGGAATAACCCAAATCACTGGTACAGGCTAGACACTGAACTGCTGGGCAGCAAGCAGCTCTGCAGAAGAAGATCTAGGATTTTTGGTAGGAAGCAAGTTAACATATAACAGCAGTGCCTTGAAGCTGCATTGGCAAGGATGGCCACTAGGAAGAGAGGAGCGATTATTTTCCATTCTGAACACAGGGAGCCGAGATGTTGGATTTTCTGTCCTGTTGTGGAGGCACCTGAAAATAAGAGATTAACAAATTTGGGGAAATTCAGTAGGGGCCCAGTAAGGTGATTAGAGGATTGGAATATATGGTGTATAAGAAGAAGCAAAAGGACCTGGTGTTGTTTAGCTTGGAGGAAGGATGTCTAGGAGGGGAATCTGTCTGTACTATTTGGTGAAGTAATTGAGGGAAGCTACAATGAA